TTACTTTGGCACAACGAGTTTACATGCATTTGATACGGTTCTGTTCTAGGGGGATTCCGCGCTCTTAAATATGAATAAATATGAACAAATTCGGGGGATTTCAACAAATTCAAGAGATGTTAACACAACTTTACATTTTTTGGGAGAAATTTTGAGATTTTCTGAACTGCAATACCGACAATGTTGAACTTGACAAGAACAGGGAATGAAGAAGTGGTGAATTATTATGACAGCTTCTAAGCTGTCACAATAATTCACCTATTATAAATATTTTAATGTCGCTAATGCAGTTGCTGACAGTCTGCAGCGCCAAAAATTCACCACCATTCATTATTATCTCATATTCACCCATATTCTAAAAATGTCAAAATATTCGACAAAATTTGGAATATCCTACATGGTGGATATCGGTGAATACTTACGGATATTGTCAGATACGGTGAGATATTTGAATTTTTATGAGATTTTAAGAATGGAGTTGAATTTTGGTACATAAATACGCGCGGAATGCCCCTAGGTTCTGTTTTTCGTCCAATAATTTCATTTTCACGTAATTCTGCTGTCTTTCATCGTACAATAAACTTAAGTACTTTCTAATTAAATTCATTTCCGGTGCAAATGTATTTGATGCGAAGCTTATCTATCAATCAAATGCCAATAATATTATTAAGGTCTTTACCTTTAACTGACAACATAATCCAGTATAAATAGTTTTATTAACCTGACGAATGGTGCTGCAGCACATCGAACACAATCCAATTTGCAAATAAAGCTGAAAACATTTGTTCGAAACTTTCACTCGTACAATCAAATGAATCGTTCTTGGAACTAAACGTTACGTGAATAGACAAATTTCGATTTCTTTTTTATTATTAAATTAAATCGAATCAATTTGATTGCTCCTTTCTACAATCTTTTTCACTTTGATCCAAATTCAATATATGCATATTTGTGCGCCGAGTCCTTTGACTGACTGACGGTGCTTTGTTCGATCCCACGAAATACAAGTGGAAACTCACAAAATACTTGGAAGTGAACATTCGGAGAAGACAATCAACAAAATGCTCTGTGGTAATGTCGATGCAGACATTGCTTTTTCTATTCAATTCATAATAAATGTGAAGTAAGTTTTCAAATACTTTCTTGTCTGCAGTTGCAATAAGATGGTATATTCGTTCACATTTCATTTTGGATGCTTTTTGAGTATAAATGAGTTTTGCGGTTGAATTCATTGATTTAGCTGGAAAATTCTTGTGAATGTTGCACCTGTGATTGAAGCAATTTTCCAAGACCAAAGCCGCTTAACAAAAATAAAAAAAAATCCTTATAACTTATGGTGACAAAAGAAACCTGCCGAAAAGTTCGTAGGACAAAATGGAACGATGTTATTTTTCTGTTCACACACAGAGAGACATTCATCCGAATGTTGAGTCTTATTTGAAAAGTTCTTTTCAGCAGCGTGAATTGTTCGCCGTTGTTATGGTTCCAGTTTTTAACTTTGACTAATTTCTAATATTCTTTATTCCTTTGAGTATTGCTTTCTGCATGGATTGTTTTCTGGAATTTACAAAGTTTTATTTAGGGTTGTGAAAACGAACCAAAAAAAGGGATCGACTACAATTTAAAATGATTGTGTTCAATCGATTGAAAAAAAATCTGGCGAAAAATGTGTTAGCACGCTGAAGTACATTGATTGGGAAAATTTGATTTGAAACACTAATTCGACGGAAATTTTTGTTGAAATGGCAAACCAGTGTATACCTGTTTTCTGACAGAACGGAAATGAATCGTCAAAGATATCAACACCTCACCGTCACATAATCCGAAATTATTACTGTTATTATTCATCTCAAGCCATTGATGATGTGTACGAAGAAATAAAATACGACGGAATTTTCCTGGGCACAACAAGGCCTGCTACTGAATATCTATATGAAGCCCATCGCTCGTTCTATCCAATATTGCTATCAATCAATCAAAATCAGTACGGCACTTCATCAGTTGGTGCCACTGCTGTCAGGCAATTCAGTACATCGGCATTTTGGGCGAAAATACTCATTATCACATATGGGATCTGCGCACTGATGGCACACGTTTCGGAATGCCATATAAGACTGTATTAAGCACTAGTAAGTACCAACTTGAATTAAATGCAGATAAACAAAAATATATAGTACATGCGGGATATAATTCGAAGCCAGCACGCTTGAGATGAAAATAAGTGTTCTATTAGATTTTGTGCATCATATGTCCACGCACTCTTATGTCATGAATAACTATACATCATTATCATTTTTGCAACTTCAACATTCATTTTTACGGTCATTTCTCATTTGGTGCGCAGTTTTTTTTCGTCGTTCTTTTTAAATAATTTTACACCGAAACAAACCATTTTCCTTACAAACTTCCGCAAATTTCTTCTTCTTCATTTTTTACTGCTCAATTCAACATAAAATCGACTGTTTTTTATTGACATTTTTCGGATAGGTTCAACCACATGAAACTTTGGACGTCAATGAACTTCGTGAAAGAAAAATCAAATAACTTTGATTATATTTTATGCTTCATTCGTTTTACAAATTCAATATGATACTTTCATTCATTTTCTGTTCTCTTTTTATTTCTCGCTCTCTACTTCTCATATGACATCGGATCATATTGAATTTCCGATGCTGCGTGCGAATGTTGCGCTAGGCGAGTGTGCTTTTTGAATTCTGAAGATGTATTACTATCTTCTGTGCAAGACGCAATTCATTTTTGCTGAGAAAACAATAAATTCGATTAGCTCGACGATTCTTCGAGAAGTCGAAAAATATTTTCATTCGATTATTTTGGTTATTTGTTTCTTCGGTTGTTCATTCCGTTTGATTCGATATAAACTGCGTTGCTTAAAGTACATCGGCATTTTCAAATTAGCGTCAATATTAAAATCGATGATTCAACACTGTGATTACAATTTTTTTCTACCTTACCTTCGAAAACGAATAAATATCCGGAAACACCGATTACAAAATGTAAAATAAAGCGGGGCAATAATCCAATCATTATCTTCCTTTCGGCTGTAATTTTTTTTCGTTTAAGAAGATGATGGCTGTTTGTTTCCTACATGTCGGATAAGTAGCTTAAATGTCGTGGAAAATTCGATGCTTTCCACTTGATTGAAATAGGATCGATATGTTTTATTCCTCATTTGCTTAATGGCCCATTTGAAATCAGATACTCATCTATTGTTAATCCGCACCAACAAAATACCAGCTAATTACAACATATAAATTGTCCATCTTTGTGTCAGTACCTAATCCATCGGAGAATTTGTTGATGTTAGTCCAAAGGTCATTTTTGTATGAAATAGAACGAATGTGTTTTTTTATCTGTCTATTTTCGGAACGCCGTTGAAAGTTTGAAACTCGGAACATTTTCGACTTTCATATCTTTTTAATTCATCGCGATTTCTCATTTATCATCATTCTAATGACAAACATCTATTTTTCATTATTACACACAGAAAAGCTACATTTTGATGTCATGTGTCCTAATTTTGTTTTCGTTTTCTCGACATCTTTCATTCTTCATTTTGTTGATACTGAGATTAGCTTGGTGGTCGATCCAATCATAAAGGTTCTAGTATGATGCAGGGTTCCTGACAATGCGGAAATGAAAAATGGATGTGTTACCACGCACCGCAAAATAAAACCTTTTCCCAATTTCAATATTTTCCCATGCATATTTTTTTTCACATGGTAGTCCGAACCGAATTTTAAGATTTTAATGAAAATTGCTAATTGCAGTGTGAGGAATGGCGTTCACAGGTCTGCAAAATGAAAAACCGTTCGAAAAAATTCTTGAGTGAAAATGGCGTTGCGATAGCGATAAACACATACTTATTAAAGAATTTAATCCGTATTACACTCATGTTATTAGTACTGCCATTGAACAAATTCCACATCACATGGTACAGCACTATTTCTTATAGTGAGCCAATTAAATGAAGGAAAATTGAGAGATAATTTGTTGAAACATTTTGAAATCTCGTCATTTCTCTGAAATAATGAAAAAGTATAAACTATTTGTCAAGTTGAGCTCAACTGGCACGAGTCAGCTTGATTACTTACCTTCGAAACTGTTGAACAGGTTGGATGCTATTGTATTTTCATATCATATCATTTTCTCATGAATAAGAATTCGTGAATTAACAAAAAAAAAAATAAGAGTATTTTGTAAGTGCACTTCTCGTTTTCTGGCGAAAAGACATGTTGTACTGTTACGCTGACAATATGAATATAAATGAAATTAAATAGCAGATGTCGTCATTGTGTTTGCTAGTGAAGTGAAAACACAGCATTTGACGTACAATTTTACATTTTCTTCGAAAATTATGAATATAATCCGCTCAAAATCACACTCTCTGCCGAGTTGAATGTCGTTTGACTCAAAGTCTTGGCGCACATAACCCGCAGCAAATGTAAATATCAAGTGGCATTTTTTAAAAGAAGTTTTTCTTCGGTACAGTTTATGATTTTTCGGATGTCATTTCAAGTTTGAACACAGAGACAGGCGACGTCATTGAAAGTGGAAAAATGACCACACTCGAGCTGAAGTGGTTGTGAGTGAATGGCACTAAAATATTAAATGCGAACGAACGAAAACGAATTTCTTTTTTGTTCATTCATTGTTTAATGTAGTCGGAAATGAAAATGGCATAGTGTGCGGGTTATAAAACAGTTCTCTTTTGGCGTGTATGTGTGCGTTTATATTTGTACAACTGAGTCGCAGCATACAAAAAGGAAGCAGAATATCTCGGACATTCAATTAATCCAAATAAAAAAATATGTGCCGCCGTGTTCCCTTTTACATTTTCTCTTCGTTCTTTCGATGTTTTCTTTTTCCTCTATGGCATCGGATACGATTTTTTTTGGTATTATAATAAAATGCTTGAATGAATTTTATTTCTTGAGTAACAACATACATATACAATATTTTTGTTGAATTTATTTGCATTCCATTTTGATCGTGTACATATTTGCAAATGAGAAAAAGTTCTTTCGACATTTCCACTTTAGATGTTTTTTTCTATTTCTCACTCGCACTTCAACTTAAACACATCTCTATACATAACGCTACTCTTTGCACAACCACCTTTTTGATTCCTTTTTTCTCTTTTCATATTTGACGTGATATTTTTTTTTTACTTTTTCAAATATTAAACTGGATATTTATTTTTGTTAATTGCGGACCATTCAGACGGATTAAAAACATCTATATTTAGATTTGAGCTTTTTTAAAATGTGTGCTTTTTTTGTTTCAAAATTCTGTCAATGTAATATCTATGTCAATTGTAAGCTATGTTTTTTTAAAAGTTAAATGTTTTGAGTGAGTCTTTAAAACGCTTAATAATTCGGTTGGTTTTTATTTTCATTTGTTTGGCCTATCAAATTTTACAACAAACACGAAAGACGAAACATTTATGAATTTATTAGATGCTAAACATTTATAAGGATTGATAAATTTGTTTAGTTTGTGAATGCTGTTGAATACATATCGGGCGACATGGAACTATTGTTATGGAACTGTGACGGAATTGCATTATTTGGAAAGCATTTTATGCATTCACATCACATCAAAGTTTTCTTGCTCATTTAAATTCAATGTCTTGTTTTAAAAACACACGCGTATGTGTGTGCGCGCGCGCCTTTTTATTTCACAATTGTTCAAAGGGTATAAAATGTGTGAAGATTAATGGTTTCGATTGTAACATCTGTGACTACGAATTGGCACCATCTTGATGGAGCCGTTGAATGTTAAGTTATGATAAAGAACAAAAGAGTCATTCTTTTATTTTCTATTCCGTTAGAGGTGGGTTTAATATTAACAAGAACCATTCTCGGAAAAGGAATGGACTTTTTTCTCTTTGTTATTATTTATTTTATGCTTCAACATCATTTGATCTATAATTTCAAAGGATTTCTCTAAAAAAAAATTCTTCATATAGGTACTCAACGATTTGAGCAAATACTTCCTTTGCAAACAAGTTTCAACCAGATTTACAATTGAATTTCTTTCTTTTGTTGTGTGCAAACATAGACAAAAATTCCATCAAATTGAAACTTGAAATGTATGCCGGTTCGATTAAACGTCTATGTTACATTGTTTTTCTAAATAAAATTGATATCAGAGCTCTTTATGTCCGCTTTTATCTAAATAATCTAAACCTTTTCATAAAAAGGTTGTCACGTTTTCTTACATAGCATAAATTATCTTTGGTAAAATATGTGTTTTTAAAATCTCTTTTTCACATAACATTTGAATTTGGAAAACGAAAAATTAAAACAAGTGATTTATTCTAGAAAATCGTGAACTTATCAAAACGTCTAATCAATCAAAAAACAGAAACATTATTCCATGGTATCTTTCGATCGGTCATCGGTATCGTCCTAACATTTACTCTCATTTCATCGAAATTTTGCTCATTTACCAAATTAAATCATGTTGAGTCACGATTTACAAATTACTTCTAATTTAAGTGTATCTAGAATATTAATTATAGTATATCATTTCATGTTGACTATGATTTTTATATGAAAATTGAAGTCTTTATTCGTAGGGATGCTACTATGAGGCCCATGAGAAAATGACATGATATCAATGTGAAATTTAGTGGAAAAGAGAGAGTAGCTATCCAATGTAATACACATTCAATTAGCAACACATTTAATTGATACTGGTTGTTGTATTCGATAAATACTATCATGTCTCTCTCACTCTTTATCTCTCGTTATATATAATAATAATATTATTTCTCGTCCATATTGAGCATGGAACGTTTACCGTGCACATCATTTTGATATAATATTATTTTCCATGGGTGATTTAATGTTTGTTATCGTTTTATTTCTATTTTATTCAAATTCAATCAAATGCATCAATAATTGACGATGTTTACAGTAAATCCGATGTGATGTTACCGTTTTTATCGCCGAGCTTTGTAATTTCCGTGGTGCGTGAGATATCGCGGGCTGGATAATAAACGCACGGATCCTGTGTCGGTGCACGAATTCGATTAATGCGTTTAATTTTTAAACTTGTTCCATTTCGAAGATTGAGACTTGTTCGTTGCGTACCGTGTCGCGACAGACGACTGCTGCTTCGATTTCCATCTCCATTGGAGTATGAGCTGTCCTCTTGTACAATACCGTCGGGTGATTCGCGACCGATACGTCCCTCGCAAAATAACTGCAGGAATATTCGTTTGAATTTTTCACCAAATATCACATATATTATAAAATTAACACTGCTGTTTAATGTCACAAGTAAATTCGAAATTATGACAATTTCCAATGGGATTTCATCGAAGAATGCTTCAACAAAATTTGCATATAGTGCCAATGAGTTGAATAAAATGAACACCACAACGACACATAGAAGCATTGTTGCCAAACCAATTTCACGACGTTCAGTTCGTGACCACATTTGTCGTTCACGATTCGCTTTACGCACTTGTGCATAAATCATTGTATTGAATATGAGCAAACCGCTGAATGGAATTATGTGATTCACAACTAATGCGCTCCAATGGATATAATACTTGATGTAGGCAGTACTCGTTCGTAACGGTGTCATTCGCGTACAATAGATTTGGCCATAATCAGGATGTTGATCGCCGCATGACTCGATTTCCTCAAAACGAATCAAATTATACAATACCGCAACGACCGTACAAAAAATCACATAGAACTTTGATCGGCCATACGTGCACAGTGCTCGCTGAAATTGAATTGGAAAACAAGTAAACAAATAAAATGAATTGCATTGTATTGATTCGAATGAATTGTAAACATTTTTAAAATACTAACCGCCCTAAGAGGATGGCATACAGCGACGAACCGCTCCAAAGAGACCAGCAGTGTTAAATAACAATTTGCCGTCTGTGCAATTACCGCCAATGTAAACAGGTATTTAATGATGCGCGGATATACGTTGTATGTGTATCGAAACCAAAACATACTGCCTCCAGTGTCGTCATAAAATGAATATGGATAAATTGAATGAAATCCAAACAGAAACATCGATGTAATAATTAAAATGATATCGCAACGTGCCAACGCAATAAGTAAATAATTAATGCTCGATCGCATTTGTGGCCGTGACAGAATGATGAGCGATAATGAATTTCCGAGGATGCCAACCATGCCGACTAAATTTATTAAAATGCCGCTGCACCAGAAGTCAAAGTCAATGATCCAAGATGATGATGATACGGTCATATTTGTTTCAAATATTGGAGAATAGCATGGATCATGTTTTAATAATGCCGATAAATTTTGTGTCGAATTCACACCATTTAAGTGATTAAAAAACAGATCCAAGTGTTCGTACATTGTGTGTTGGCGTTGACAGTCGGTGACCTGGGCATAGGGATCCATTACCGTATTCAGTATATCAAAACTCGAACTTCCCGTGAAGTTCGGAGTCTGCGTTTCAAACATTTTGGCTGAGCTGTCTTTTAGTCTCTTTCAAATTGCCTATTTTAAAATGTTTAAATAACAAATTTTCCTTTCACCATTCAAATTTCAATGTTTTTTTTTTATTCTTCACAATTCATGTTTTTGTTTGCTCAGATTTTTCATCACAATCAACACAATTACTTTTTAACGCTTTCATTTTCGAAACTATTTTAATTTAGGGCACATTGTAATTATATTGATTTCACCACAACAATGAATGAATTGACTAGATTTTAATTAATGTTCACGGTTTTCAATTTCAGCTTTTATTTGTAGGCCGGCTCACCGCTAATTCTGAAAACAAACAAAAAGTAGGATTAATTTAGACACATGTTGAACGTACTAGCAAAAAAAAAACATTTTTTACAAAAAAAGGGTTCACACAATTCCTTCACCTTCAATGGTTAAAAGGTTAAAAGGAAGTGAAAAAGTTCAAATGAACTTGCATAAGTTTCATTAGATGAAAATTTAATTGATTAACTTTGTGAATAAATAGAAAATTATCGAAAAAGTTTGCCAATCATTCGTAATGGCCATTCCGTCCTTGAAGCAATCCATATGAATCACAATGTATTGCATGCAAGTCAACCAAACTAATTAGAAAAGTTTGTTGTTTTGAGATAGAGAGAACCTCTTTCCAACAACAACAAATTTGCGCGCATTTTTTTTATTTTGAATGGCCATCACGTAGTTTTTGGTGCGTTATACGCCAACGCAACCGCATCGAGAGTTTGCCGGTATTATGCAATTCAATTGTCAGCCGGCCATTTCCTTGGTCACATCATGACGCACCGTGACACTCATCTCTTCCTTCAACTCATTAAATGGCAAAATGAAAAATGTGTAAACATAATAGAATCAAAAAGCACATTATTAAATGCCCCCTCCCCCAAAAAAAGCGTTATTCGAGCTACAATTTGTTTAAAAATGTAATGCGTTGTCTACGCACAAAAGTTCAAAAATGCCACTTTCATGTATGTGCAACAACCGAGTCCGGCGAACCATGAGCCTTCAGAATGCTTTAAGCTTTGATGAAGAATAGCAGGCAGTTGTCGGCATCTTTTCTCTTTGATTTCCTTCATTCACTGAACTCCTTATATCTGATTACATTAACGTTTCCATTGAAAAACTGTAAATTTCCGTCAACTGCTCAGCTCGTTATTCATTGAAAACGCTTTCGAAAAGAGAAAATAATATAACCATTTCATATTTAGAGTGAGTGCAAACAAATTGTAAAATGATGGCAGTCTTTGTTTTTGCTGCTGTATTTGCTGTGAATGTTATTACAAAAATCTCATTTAAATGGAATTTTTGCTTTTTATCATATACTCTTTTGCCACTTTGTGAATTTTCCTTACATCATGGTTATTTGCCTCTTTAAAATGCTCTTTTTGCAGCAACATCACTTTACCAACCATCGTATATCATACGATGTACTTGTTCATACTCTCTCTGTAGCGGCGGCTGTTTACTTTCACTTGACAACGAATAATAGTCGTTGTAGTCGTTTTCGATGGAATGTTCGTTTTGTTATCGATTTGCACAGCGAATTTCTACAATATAAACCACTCGTTCTGTATGTTTTTTTCAATCATAATGGTTTCGTTAAATGCACATAAAACGATTTTCGCTATAAATGGCTAGACATTGGTGAAATTTAATTTTGAGTTTTTTCTATCATTTTTAAATAAAAATTGGACGTCATTTATTATAATATTATTTCGTTTTAGTGAAATTTCTTTGATTTTCACTTTGGTCAAACGATTTTAGACTTCATTGTATCAAATAGTATATTGTCGCCTCTGCTCCCCTTCGTCGTGGCCATTTGCCGGGTTTTGACCTTTTAGATGCGCAATTTATTGTGCGACAGACAGATGGCCTTTACTATTTCATATTTCTTTAATAAGAAGATGACCTTTTTTATGATTTTTTTATAGAAAAATTATCTGTTGATTGACTCTTACTAGGGGAGAGTCACGTAGGTTGGGCCGTCACGTAAGTTGGGCCAGTATGATATTTTGACATATGGCAATTGGCAACTATGATGTTTATATTGTCAAATTGTTCTCTCACTAGGAGCAAACTTTTCATAATAAACGGACGTGCTAACTAGCACTCCTTGTATTTGAGCCAGAACATACAAAAATTTTCTTTTAAAAAAGTGATTTCGAGAATTTTCAAAAAGTGAAAAAGGTGTAAATTTTGCAACGACAGAAAAAGGTGAATATAACATTCTCTCTATAGTTTTTCCTCTATTTTTATATTTCGAAGGAATTTCGAACATATCTTGTGTAGAAAAAAAATATCACGTCATGTCAAAATGGTGCCGAGGTACGTAAGTTGGGCCATTTTGAGTCACGTAGGTTGGGCCACTATAGGACGCTATGTTTTTCACAGAGAAATCCATAGAAATTTCGAGAAAAATCAAATGGAATGTTCTGGAAGCTCATGGAAACACACCGAAATCCATAGAATGTTCTAGAAATTTCGAGAAAAGCCAAATGGAATGTTCTAGAAGCTCATCGAAACACACCGAAATCCAAAAGCACTGTTCTCACCTCACCAGAATCAGTTGCCTACCTCAAAGATAGACGGCATAAGAGAGATGCTAGGAAAAAGAAGAAGGAAGAAGGCACAAAGAAGCGACAGCATTCACCGCAAAAAGAGTCAATAAAAAAGCAAATATAGCCCGCACGAGCCACCGCCTCAAAGAGGAAATCGTCGTCGTCAGATGAAGACGTGGATTTCTGCATGATCTGCATGCAGATTGCAGAATTTGCCAGCCAATTTGACCAAATACAACTCCATCGAGTGCAAACAAGTGTCAACGGCCATTCCATTTGAAGTGCGTCAACATGACACAAAGTTATTTCACGTGCAAAAATTCCGACTCAGATGCCGATGTTAGTTCTGAAGAAAAACAATGAATATTTGATATTTTTCCATTATATTTTCATGGTGAAAGCCTTTGTTGTAAATAAATCAACCTTAAACACTTGAAATCTGGCATTTACACTTCATTTTTTCCAACCTCTTCTCAAAATCGGATACTGGCCCAACCTACGTGACAAATTTTTTGGGGGCCAAGAATCATGTGTTCGGAAATTTGATCATAACTTTTTTGTTTCTGAAGCAATCAATTACTCTCTTCGGCAAATTTGTAGCCCGGAACAATACCTTTCCGACGGTATATAACTATACGTAATTTTTATTTTGAGTAAAAAAATTTGGCCAAAAAATAAAACCCGGCCCAACCTACGTGACTCTCCCCTACATTTTTTAGCCCAGCGGCAACCCTTCAATAATCAAATAGACGTTAGAATCTTGACAATCAAAATATTTGACTTTATGAAAAGTATATTGCCCAACATCACACAATTTACTTTTCACATACAAACATCACTGCAAAATAAATGGTCAAAAGTGAATTTACATGCAAATTGAGAGCTGGGGGAAAGAGCGTCAATTCTATTACCTGAACAAATTGAAAATTTACGTAGATGAACGGAGACACAGAATGGATGAACAAAACATTAATCACACGCATTGTAAATGACATGAAGATATTGGCTTCCTGAATTTATTTCATTGAAATTATTAAAATCAAAATTGAAACTCAATCAACATTACAATATATGCACAAAACAATAAATGAACAAAAACGGAAATATGATTTCTTTCGGCTTTATATCAGGGTAATGAACACAAACAATGCATTAAATTATATGTAATTTGTTTGTTTGATTGATTCAATTGTGTAGGTAAAATATTTTGAGTGAAAGAGAGAAATTTATTATCGAATTATTATTCAATGTTAATCAATAAAATGGTAATAATATGAAAGAATAAAAGAATCAAACAAACTGCTTGCTCACAAAATAAAATGTAATCTATAAATTTTATTTGTGTGCATTAATGTTTCGCATACGCGACTGATACCATATGACGCACTAATTGCATCGTTTATTGCGTATTCACCATGTTCTCGCATAAAATGTGATAATTGGTTCGAAGAGCGGGTGTATAAAACGCTAAGAGTACATTCCCATTATCATTATGATAATAATCGGACTTAATGAAATCGAAACTAAATATTTCGTGTCTTTATACACGCGCAACAATTGAGTAAATTGACTTCGAACTGTAACAAAACAGTCGACAATTATTTTGTCTGGAATTGACCGGCGGGCTTCTCTTTATTTACATTTCGGAACTAAGCGCCATATAATTATTATAATCGATTTTGAAAGTGTAAGCACAAAATAAACATTTTTTTAAATTGATTTCATTCTTGGCACCACAAACGAATGTCGATTTCCGAATTTCTGGCCATGGCCAGCACGCTGCAGGAAACAAAACATATTCAAAGTATATTAAACATCATTAACGATAAATGTTTCGTGAACTAAAAAAGCTTTGTTTATTTACTGATTTCGATCGACTCGTATTCTCTAAGAGAATTTCTCTTGTTGTTTGTTGGTTTGTTTGCTTGTTTGTTCCTAATTCGAATCCAATCATTTACTGGTGTTTTAGATAATAATAAATAATGCAACATTTCACATAGCATACACTTATTTTCGAGATATAGATGTGTCCGCTATGGCACCCACATCGTAACTGAGAGAAAAGTCGACCATAAAGAGAAATTAATAGTCTACGAACATTTAAGAATATTTTACGTAATTTCAACGAATTGTTGGTACAGCGCAATAAAATTACTAGAAAGCTTTTATTCCACTTAGAAATTTTAGGTAATTACCTAAATATTAATATTTTCACTGCAATTCGATGTTGGTTGATGCACAACACACTATATTTAAATTTTTTCAGCCCGCTAATTCAAAAACAAAACAAAAGTTGAACATTAATTAAATTCGTAGAAATGAATCTGATCTAATAATCAACTTTTTGTTTAAAAAAAACAATAAAGCTGTTCCATTCAAATTGTACCACAGACGCAGGTGCTTTATTCCGTAATCCTATTTTTGCGATATGTTTCAACCCATTGAATGTATACCGATAAACTAAGTCATTGAGTCAAATAAGATTCAATTCAAATTGCACAATACAAGCAGTGCACAGATGCAGTAATGGATGTTGTATTAAAATAACACCATAAAAAGTAATAGCCGATCGCCGGTTATTGGCTCGACACAAATACTTTGTTTTACAACAACCAAACAAAAAAAACCTGGAACCAGTTTGTGTGCGGTATCCATTTGTGTATGCCTAAAGCATGATTGTGTGTGGCACGTAGTGCAATTACCATTTCAAATTTTAATCCATTTCCTGCA